CGATTTGATCGCGACCTTCGGTTCACCTCCCGGAGAGGTTACAACATGTTCAAAAAGGATACATCTCACTTTTGATGAGTAATGATGAGACACGCATTGGAAGTTAAAGCTGCGGTCCCGGCGGAGCGATTTCGCGACAGGAAGTGCACTTCTCTTGTACTTTTTCAAGTCCCGGGGACTCCAATCCTCCTCAAAATTTGTAGGGACCTTGGGGGGCATGTGGGGAACACCACTGGCCAGTTTTATTGGGAGAGGGAGGCCACCGACCACTTTTTGAAAAGTGAATGGCCGGCCTGCCAGAAAAAGTGGCCGGCCGGCCACTTTGCCAAATCCGGGGGCAGTTTTGTCTTTTCGGCCTCTTTTCTTTAAATACACTTATCCAAACACTTTGAGCTCATAAGTGCAGCTCCAAAATCCTCTTCCCTAGCTTCCCAAACCATTTTCTCCCTCAGATCTGTGCTCTATACGCGTTTTCCAACGTCCCACGCAAGTTGTTTTCTCGAAATCTTTCAGTTTTAAGCACTTTGAACCGATTAAATTTTGGTTTCAGGGCTTCTTTTCTCATTTTCGCCACTTGAGGTGAGTTTGTCTCAATATTTGGAAGATTTTCTTGGGAGTTGACTTTTGTTGACTTTTTCATTTCCCGAGAGTTGACTTTTGTTGACTTTTTTCAATTTTGGCTCATTTTTGCCCCTTTTTACAGATTTTTTGGAAATGACGGTCAATTTCCCCACGGTAGAGGTTCTCCGGGCGCCGGAGGCGAGCCTGACATCATGTCTTTGCCTCCGAGGGTTCGCCCCTTCATACCTGAGAGGTATGACCCACCAGTACACGTTCTTCCGCGGGCTGTTTTCCATCATTTCACCGATTTCGACGAGCGAGTCCCCGGGGATCTCCTTCTGCGGGAGCCAGAGTATCATCTCTCCCATGAGGCACGAGAGGTATTTACTTCGTTTTTTACCTTTTCTGTAACGTATTATGAATTTTTCTCGTATTCTGTTCGTACTCTGAACACACGGTCCAATCACTTGAATTCCCGAACACTCAGCCCATAAATTGATTGTGAACACACGGCACACATCGGTTGAGTTTTGAACACGGAGCCCGCACACTGATTTTCTGAATACATAGTCCGATCTTAAGGTGAACACTCAGCACACACTGATCGAGAGTTGAACACGCAGCCCGAATACTGATTTTCTGAACACACAGCCCAAATTGATTGTGAACACGCAGCACACACTGATTGAGAGTTGAACACGCAGCCCAAACACTAATTTTCTGAACACGCAGCCCAAATTGAAGGTGAACACGCAGCACATACTGATTTTCTGAACACACAGCCCAAATTGATTGTGAACACGCAGCACACACTGATTGAGAGTTGAACACGCAGCCCAAACACTAATTTTCTGAACGCACAGCCCAAATTGATTGTGAACCCGCAGCACACACTGATTGAGAGTTGAACACGCAGCCCAAAATACTAATTTTCTGAACACGCAGCCCAAATCGATGGTGAACACGTAGCACACACTGATTAAGAGTTGAACACGCAGCCCAAACACTAATTTTCTGAACACGCAGCCCAAATTGAAGGTGAACACGCAGCACACACCGATTTTCTGAGCACACAACCCAAATTGATTGTGAACACGCAGCACACACTGATTGAGAGTTGAACACGCAGCCCAAACAGTAATTTTCTGAACACGTAGCCCAAATCGATGGTGAACACGCGGCACACACTGATTAAGAGTTGAACACGCAGCCCAAACACTGATTCTGAACACACAGCCCAAATTGATTGTGAACACGCAGCACACACTGATTGAGAGTTGAACACGCAGCCCAAACACTAATTTTCTGAACGCACAACCCAAATTGATTGTGAACCCGCAGTACACACTGATTGAGAGTTGAACACGCAGCCCAAAATACTGATTTTCTGAACACACGGCTCACTTACTTTACTTTGCGCGCAGCCTATTCATTTTATTTGCACGCAGCTTATTCATTTCATTTGCACGCAGCTTATTCATTTTATGCTGAAACACCTATTCCTTCTGAATGCAGGTGACTTCTCGCAATGTACGGGGGTATGGCTCTACTGCGGCGAGAGACTGGTATGCCGAGCTCCCGGAGGCTGTTCGGGATTTGGTTGACTTGACGAGGTTTGGGCCCTTCTATACTGGGCTATCCCGTTGCCCTGCCAGGAGGACGTTGATGGCTGCCTTGGTGGAGAGATGGTGGGACACCACCAACTCCTTCCATTTTTCCACTACGGGGGACTTGACTATGACCCCCTTTGACTTTGCCGTACTAACTGGCCTGGACATGGGAGGTTGGCCTATCCCTTACGATGAGGACATGGGTCAGTGGGAGGCTGCCTGGATATATTTGTTGGGGGCTCGCCCGCCTGTTGATAGAGCTTCGGGGAGAGTTCGATACACCTGGTTCTCTTCCCATTTCCGGCGGGTGGAGATGGAGCCCAGGACTCCTGATGAGGCGGCACAGTATGCCCGCGGCTTCCTGATGTTCCTCTTCGGGACCACTTTGTTTGCCGACAGGGGGAACACTGTAGGGCTCTATCTGCTGAGTGCTTTGGTGGACCTATCACAGGTCAGACGATACGACTGGGGTGACGCCGGCTTGGCTACCCTTTATTGCTATATGAGCACGACTTCCCGCGGATGTGGGGACTTACTTGGCGGCTACTGGAGAGCCTGGGAGGTACTTTCTGCCCTCTTGATTTACATTTCTACTCCTCATTACTTGCACATTGCATACACGGCGCACTTTATACTCTGTATCGTGCACTTTGCCCTCAGCACTTCGTATTCTGCTTTGTTTTCCACAGTTGTGGGTCTATGTGTATTTCCCGACATTGGCCCCAGAGATGGTGGTAGAGGGACCTCTCGTGACCCCATACTCACTGGTTTTTGAAGGCCAGCACCGGTCAAGACCTCGGGAGTCTCTCCTTTTCCTGCGGCAGTATTTTGACACGGTGCAATCGACGGAGGTATTTCAGAACTCTCAGTTCTTTCTGTTTTCATCTTTGATTTGTCCTGTACATTTTCGATTTCTCTGAGAACACCCCAACCTGGATTTTGGGTGGCAGCAACTGAGAACACCCCAACCTGGATTTTGGGTGGCAGCAACTGAGAACACCCCAACCTGGATTTTGGGTGGCAGCAACTGAGAACACCCCAACCTGGATTTTGGGTGGCAGCAACTGAGAACACCCCAACCTGGATTTTGGGTGGCAGCAACTGAGAACACCCCAACCTGGATTTTGGGTGGCAGCAACTGAGAACACCCCAACCTGGATTTTGGGTGGCAGCAACTGAGAACACCCCAACCTGGATTTTGGGTGGCAGCAACTGGAAAATATCATAGATTTGATTTTTAAAAACCTCGTGACAGCATTTCATCAGCTTCATCCAAGACAAACATTTTGATGTAAACAGGGCGAAGTGATTGTCTCCGCAACATGTCAAACACGCGACCAGGAGTACCAACAACAACATGAACCCCACTGGAGAGAATGCGCTGATCTTCGCGCACACTAGTCCCTCCAACACAAGCATGAACCTTCACACTTTGCTGGGCAAGTTCACGAGTGGGTGGAAGAACCAAAGCTTGGCACTTAACCAAGCTATAATCTAGCTGCTGCAGAATTCCAGAGCAGAATGTTGCAGTGTTTCCAGTTCCAGACTGTCTCGTCATATGAGGTGAAGAATTCTTCTCCATCAGCCTCACACATGACTACAGTTGCACAAATCTTTGTTGATTTTATCAGCGGAATAGGTTGAGGTCCGGCGGGCGGCTAAGGTGAGGTTGCCGCCCGCCGGGGAAGCGAAAATACTAGGTTTTAAACCAGCTCTGATACCATGTAAGAAATAATGTATAGAGAAAGAGAGAGAATAAATTGTATGTATTATTATTGATTGATATATTGATATTTTTTTTTGTGTCTATTACAAATGGTTCCTTATATAGATGTAGGTGTAGTGGATGGTGTGTAGTGGATGGTGATAGTGGTGTAGTGGGTTTCATCCCTCTTCACAGCTAGAACAGCCACCCCATGGGTGGCAGCTCTGGGGACATTACACGTCCTTCGCACGCACCCTCATGCCCATTCATCATGCACACACATCTACTCATAACACAACCATTGCACCAACCAGCACATCCCTCATCCTCTCTGAGAATCTATAGTGACACCCACTTCACACAACTTGCCCTATGACACTCCTGAACCTTCCTTTTTCTTTGTTCACCTGCTAATACATGATACAATCATACACATAAAACTCTCAATATGTATATACAGCCTTGTATATATATATATATATAAATCAAAACATGGGAGTGTGTACTATCCTATCTGTGATTGGCTGCCTCCTCTCAGTTTGCTCTATTAACTCTACGGCTTTCCCCCTCTATAAATGTATATTTATCTATATGAAGAACCCTAACTGCCGCCATCACCACCATTTACCTCTAACCCATGTCTCTTTCTCCCTCTTATGCCTTTATCTCAATTCGATGCTAAGAAGCACAGCCATAGACAAGGACAGGTGACACAAAATTTCAAAAGTTACATCATTATCTTTATTATACCAAGGATTGTTTTGAGATTTTATGACATTTTGAAATCCAGGAATTTGAAGATACTTTATCACATAAAGACTTCACCTAAATCACCGGAATTCAAGAAATTTGAAATATTGGCATAAATTCGGTAGCCAAAATCTTACACTTGAGGACTTGCCTCATTCTCAAGTTGTAGTATAATATAATCAAATTGTTTTGTGAATAAATGCTTCCATCCCATTAGAAATATTTCTTTATTATTATTATTAATTTTTGAATGTGACTTTGAAATGACCTTAATGCTGATAGAGTTTGGACACCCACAATATTTCATGCACCAACATATGCGATATATAGGTTGTCTATACAGATTATGATTTTGTGCTCATTCTCCCTTTTAGGTATTTCAAAGAATTCTTAAAGCGTATGCTACAAAGCTTTTTGCAAGATTGCCTAAAGGAGGCACCGGAATCGTTGCAGCTGCCACGGGCATGGATGGACAAATAAAGGTATCAATGGCCTTGTTTAGTTTTGTGATGACTGATGTGAGCAATTGCTTATTATTTTAGAAAATACTAATTTTATTGTTGCTATCAATCTGACTATTTCATGCAGACATCTGATAGGGATGAAAGAGTGATCTGTTATATCATTAATACAGCAGAATATTGCCATAAAACGGTCAGTTAGATATCAGAATTGTATAAACTTTTCTCATTTTCTAATTCATGACATTTTAGGTTGTATGAGCTAATTGTGTTGTCTCACAACTAACAGTGCTTTTCACATTTAAGTAGAGTGGAAAGAGATCCTAAATTGGCATCTTTTGAAACAATATGAGGGCCAAGAAAAATCATTTTTGAATGGTTTAAAAGGGACAGTTTTCGGTATGTGTGTGAGAGAGGGAGATGTTGTCTCCATTATGTGAAAGTAATGTCATATTGAGAGGATTTGGAGTGTGTGCTTCAATCTGGACCTTTGATTGCTATTATGTTCAGTTCAGTTATAATCCCAATTTGAGAGAACCTGTACCCGTATTTTATAATATGAACATGTGTTTTGTTGGAATGTGTCCCATATCGCTTGGAATTGCCCTGTGTTAGTTATAAGGTTTCAGTTTCCCTCTTTTTAATACCTGGGTTCTAAGGAGAAGTGTGGGCTGGGCTTTTTCAATTTGGTATCAGAGCTTGGTTAGGTCTGTGATTGATGTACCGTTTGTCCAGCTACTGTATGTTGTGGTCCAGGAGGGTGTGTTGGAATGTATCTCATATCGCTTGGAGTTGCCCCATCTGTGCTGATTATAAAGCTCCAATTTTCCTCTCCTTAATACCTGGGTTTTAAAGAGAAGTGTGGACTAGGCTTTTCAAACCCTTTAGAGTCTTGGAATTATACTTTGTAATGATATTGTATATCATTAGCTCTAAATCAGGTTATGGCAAGTGAAACAACTGTGGATCAATGGCGCTTTTGTAATTCTATTTTTTGTTTTTATTTCTTTTGAATTTTGACAGTCCGGTGAATTGGCTGAAAACGTGTCCAGTATAATCAAGCCTCAATTAGCGGATGGAGTGGATATGTCTGAAGTGCAGGTGAATCACTGTTCCATTGCAAAATTCCTTCATAGTAATATTGCTGTTTGTTTAATAGGAACCGTGTGTCTGTGCAGAATGAATTTTCAGCTGTAATCACAAAAGCATTGGTAACATTAGTGCATGGTCTGGAGACGAAATTCGATGCTGAAATGGTTGCAATGACACGGATTCCATGGGGTACACTTGAAAGTGTTGGCGATCAATCGGAGTAAGATGCAATATTTAAATGTTTTGAACGTTAAGTATTAGTGCCTGGGGCATCTTACCACGAAATTCATGCATTTTTTTACAGGTATATCAACAGCATAAATATGATCCTTACTAGTAGTATTCCTGTCCTTGGAAGTCTTCTTTCTCCCATCTACTTCCAGTTCTTCTTAGATAAGGTGATCGTAAAATTACATTATGGCTTTCATTATAGATATTAGCCTTGTAAGGTTGATGGATAGTGCTTTAAGGTTTTCTAATGTTTGGGAATATGCATGTGTAGTTGTTTATTTTATTATCTTTTATGCTCCATTTTGGCAACTTAACTTTCTTTGTTGTATCATCCTTCGCCCTTTCATTAATTAATTTCATTTTCCTCTGCTAACAAAATCACATCCAAAGTTCTGTGTTATAACAATCATACATAATTTCATAGTAAATCATTTTTTGAAGTTATTCACTAGGTCAATTTGCTCATATCTTATTTTTTTATGCAGCTTGCATCATCTCTTGGTCCACGCTTCTATGCCAATATTTTCAAGTGCAAGCACATATCAGAAACAGGAGCCCAACAAGTAATGATTGTCTTCAAGTTTCTTTTGTTCCAATATATTGTGTTTGCCATCCACTAATAATCACTAGTGTATGTACTGTATGCTGAAAGGCATATGGGTTAAGGCATGAATGCTTGGATCAATAGAAAGCCAGAGGGATACATCCCAAGGCACACCCTTGAAATTCGATGGGGTTTACCATCTGCCAACCATGCTTCGGCCTGTAAGGAACTAATGGAAATGGCAGGACCGATTTCTAAAATATGTGGCTCATGCAGTAACAAAAATAGTTGTTTAATATTTATTGATTGTTACACTAATATTTTATTCATTTAAATTTGTTTGTTAAGAATAAAGAGAAACCGTATTGTTTTTTATGAGTTGCTTAATTGAAACAAAAAATAGTTATTTAATATTTATTGATTGTTACACTAATATTTTATTCATTTAAATTTGTTTGTTAAGAATACAGAGAGACTCTATTGTTTTTTATGAGTTGCTTAAATGAATATTTGGAGGAATTTCATGCAACTTGCCTATGGTTTAGAAGAAGACAATTTCTTTACACCTGTGTATCTGAATTCTGAAAAATACTTTGTCAACTAGTAAATGAATCTGAATTTCCTTTATACTTTTAATATGGCATTCTTTTGAAATTTAGCTAAATACATTATGAAAACTTCATTTTCAATCAGGTGGAATTTTCTTTTAAAATATTGTGATGTAGAAATGAATTATACTCAAAATTGTAATATAGATGCATTATGCCCAAAAGTTTAAGATTTATTTGTTTCTACCTCACACCTTCCATATAGCAGTTAAAGAATTCTTTTGGTCAAATGATCAGTCATTCTACATCTTAATGTAAATTATATGACTTTAGTTGTATAAGCCCTTCCAGGAAATAATTTTTGTTGATTATGTTACATTTTTTTTTAATGTAAATTCATTGAATGATATTATTGCAGATGCTGTTGGACACTCAAGCTATAAAGACAATTCTTCTAGATATTCCCTCCCTTGGAAGACAGGTCAGAGAACACATCTGTAAATGTGATTAATGTTCATATAGTGTAGTTTTTATTGGCCGTTCTCTGGATTTATCACTCTGAACATCATGAGTAGACACAGAATTTTATACATCTGGTATTGGCACCATGTACATTTTCCTCTACTATATTTGGTCCATAGTTGTCAAAATCCTGCAATTTGTGATTCAAGTCATACATCAAGTCTATTCAAGCCCTAACTGATTCAAATTTGTTGGGCGATTAAAAGGACTGAATATGTGGGTGAACCAATGAATCTATAGGTGAATAGATGAATTCAACCGAGTTGGTTGATTCACCATTAACTCTGCTGAATGGTTCTTTATTTGAATTTAGTTTCTTTTTGTTTGTTTGTATTTTTTTTTTAGTTGTAAAAGGTTTCAAAAAAATCCTTCCGAGGCTTTTAGGGTTGTTTTATACATTCCCAACCTTTTCCACACTTTCTGGTTATGTATGCATATGTCTGCAGCAATGTTTACCACTTTTCTTATTTGTCTGAACAGACATCAGGTGCTGCTAGCTACTCAAAATTTGTAAGCCGTGAGATGAGTAAAGCTGAAGCTCTCTTAAAGGCGAGTAATGAAATTAGTTTTGGATTTTTGCTTCTGGAAAGTTGCAGTCATCATACATATCTAGTTGTCTTCGTTCTACAGGTTATTCTATCCCCTGTTGACTCTGTGGCTGATACATATCGTGCGCTGCTACCTGAAGGAACACCTTTGGAGTTTCAGCGGATACTGGAGCTTAAGGTCATAGTCAAAATCACTACCTTGTTACTCTTATTTTTTTTTTCCTTTACCCCTTCTAACACCTATCAGAGGTCTTAATCATGGTCAAGGCTAATATGTCCCTACAACTCTCCTGAAATCAGTCATGAGCCTTGTCTTAGACTCACATGTTGTGAGAGTAAGACTGACTTGATAACAATGTCAACCTTGAAATTCATAGGTAAAACTATCAAATCTAAATTTGAGTTATTCTACTTGTATAATTGATGTCAAATCTATGCATTTCAAATCCATCACTCTCCAAATGGACCCATGTTTGAATTGAAGTCCTAGAACTTGTGCTCTTGTGCCTGTATTGATTTGAAAACGAAATGATTTGGGCAGGGCATGAAGAAAGCTGACCAGCAAAGTATTCTGGATGATTTTAACAAACGTGGGTCGGGGATTAATCAACCACCACATATGGTTGCCCAATCAGTTGTTGTCCCGTCTGTACCCACTGCCCCTATGGCTCCTACCATGTCAACTCCAGGTTCAGTTGGAGTTATTGCTTCAAGAGAAGATGTGCTAACGAGAGCAGCCGCCCTTGGGAGAGGTGCAGCTACAACCGGGTTCAAGAGGTTCCTTGCCCTAACTGAAGCTGCAAAAGACCGCAAGGATGGGCCTTTCAGGAAGCTCTTTAATGCATGAGGAATGCTTCTGTATATTTTACCGATTTAATTCATATAGTAAGTAACAATTCCCGATATGCCACAGCATGGAGGACTAGAGAGCTCCTGGCCCCTGCTCCCACTTTCAGTTGCACTTTGTCTGACGAGTGCTTGGATTGGTTCAATGACGAGGCACAGGTCGGGCCCAGCTTGGCATCAGAGGCTTCGACCAGCTCTGGGAGGGGGCGCAGGGATACTTGACTTGACTATGCCCCGGATTTATTATTTTATTAGTACTTCCAAGTTTTCTTTATGAATGTAATAAAAAGCAACTTCGATTGTATGCGAGAGCAGGAGAACTCTGTTTTGAAATCAATGAAATTGAAGGTTGCGGTACTGAAAATTTTCGCTTTGGTCCAAAAATGGTCTTAGTTGTAAAGAGATTAATTTGAACAAAGCCAACTTTTATTAAAACCTTTCAAAATCATTTTCGATATGGATCAGAACTGGACACGCCTGAGATCTGTCACTGAGATACACAATCCCGGATCCTAGCAACTGGAAAGTTGCCCCTAGTCTGAATAGCACTGCACCGGAGATTGCGATAAACGCTGATGGATAAAGATGACTGAGATGGTCAAAATGGACAAAGTTGATCGGGGAAAAGTTTATGGCTGAACGCAAAGATTTTCCAACTTCACGTATAGATTTGACATTGTATCTATCTATGTGTATGCATATATGCAAGGAGAGGGATATCCGTAAATTAAAAATTCAACATAGGAATAACATCCCTCTTTCGCAAGTTAAATTGCTCCATAATGTATGTTTGTTGCATATAACTAGCATCTATTAATTGAGGGGCTTCGTTGAGCTAAGGATAGAATTTCAGGAGCTCATTGAACTTTTGGCATAATAAAGCTTGCACTATCTTTTTGCACTTAGTGCACAGTGTGCTGTCCGTAAAATGTTATAGGTTTTAAATTTTTTATCAAATAAATGACCAAATGTCTCGTATGGATGTGTGGGGTCTACAAAATTGCGGATTCTATTCCCATTTGAGACATTTGTTTGGTAGAAAATTTAGTATTCTTATCATTATTTTTAATTCACCGTGCCATAAATCTGCAAGCTCACAAATTCACTGACTTCTTTTAAAAATTTGCTAACAAGTCCCAAATGTTGTGAAAATCCATTTAGTGTAGCTAGTCCCACATGCTATGAAAATTCATTTAGTGTACCCCAATCTACCCGTTTTTACATTTTGAATTATTGTGATTATATGTATATAAATATGAGTAATGCTTGCTAACCTGAATATGAGGTTGGCTTGAATGGCTCGAAATTCATCTTACCGGTCGTTCGGACAGATGTTCGACTAATCGTTCGGCGAGGAGGTTGACTGCTGCGGTCGACGAAAGTGACAACCGCGGTAGACAACCTTTCACTTGGTCGTCTGGGCGGACGTTCGGCCGGTCATCCGGGCGGACGATCGGCTAACACCCATTCAGGCCATTCAAGTTTCCTCCAATTCGAGCTACACGCTTTTTCCAAATATATGTTTGGTCTTTCACGTTGCAAACCTTTAGAAGTTTAAATCACAATGTTCTTATAAATCCTAACGCAGACAATGTACTTTTTTATCATTTCCGAAACATTTCTACATTGATTTTAACATTAAACAATGCAGAAGAAATACTTATTAACATTTACTTTAGTTCATTAATTGAATAGCTGCAATGCAATACGGCTTATAATTTTCACCACTTTAGGATTTCCACCGCTATATTATGAAAAATGTAGTTGGAAGATAATGGAAAGTGTTCAGATCATCTGCCCCTGTTGGACTGTGTTCAGATCATCTTGATTGAATTTCTCTAGGGCGAGTGCTAGTGTGAAAACAACGTAGTTTTGATTGATGTACATAATAATAATAATAATAATGAGAAAGAAAAATAGAAAGACTCAAAGAGATGCATATTGATCGAGAGAGAGGTTCACGATCGTGCTTGGAGGCAACCCTACCCCGAATTTATTTGTTTTCTCTGACTTTTTGAATAATGTTATTGGTTATGTATTTTTATAGTTGGTACATATTTGCTTCCATTTTATTTATCAAAAATAAATAAATAAAAGAAGACATTACCCCCACACACCACCCACACCTCAAAACCTTCTTGTCAAAAACCAATCACTCGAACATGAATATGTGATTGATTCTCATATTCTTCCGTGTTTTAACCTTTGGCATGGTGATTTTGAATGCCGCGTCAATTTCTTCTTTTTCCATAGTAGAGCAAGTTTGAGGTTGCGATGGCCATTTGGTTTGGTCTTGGGTTAACATTGTTGTGCACTCGTCATTTTGGTGCTTCTGCGGAATAGTCGAATGCATTGATTGTTGGTTGGAGCTATTGGACTTCACAAGACTCGGTTGATGTTGTTTTCGACCACGCTCAACGTTGGCTTGATGAGCTTGGAGAAGATTCAGCGCTAGCTGACAATTACCATAGCAATCTTCATCATCTTCTCTTTTCTAGTTCTGGCTCTTCATGAAACTTGAGCTTTTCTCTATGACATAGCCTCAGCAAAGCTTAGGTGGTGTGCTCATAGTAATTGTGAAGACATATGACAGGGAGTCCATTTTTCATCGATTGATTTTTTCCATCACTTTGTTTTTCACATTGCTTGGATTCCTCTTTCTGGTTCCTCTCAAGCGAGTTAAGTAGAAGCGGGAGGAGGTACTGTTATGGCAAGTATCGGTGGATCAGCTCGTGATACTAATATAGCAAGTGCATTGTCACAGACTTAGTTATTTCCAAGGTATCAGTACAAGCTAGACAAGTGAGACAATTGTACACTCACAAGGTAGACAAGTGATGCTAGATTAGTCTTTAATAACCCTTTAGTGCAGAAGAGAGCGCTAATACACACGAGAGTTAAGAAAATGCTTGTGTATTCACTAAAGACAGAACTCTTACACTTTTAATAGATATGATCCAAATTAGCCTTCAATAAGGTAGCCTAGCATTCCTAGGAAAGCCTTTATTAATTAGGGTGTGTAGAAGGCCTCTACTATCTTACAAGAATATTCTAGATCCTATTCTAGAAGTACATTCTAGAATCATGTACAACCTTCCAACATTATCTCAAGTCTTCCAAGAACATTCGGAATCTTCCATTAGCCTCCATTCCTTCATCCCTCCTCTTGGTAGGCAATTCTAGCTACATAACTTAGCAGGACGTGACATTCTCTCCCACATAAGCTCGTGATACCCTGATCGCACCTTATTCGTCGAAGTCACAGGTTTTCTCCTTAAGTTGCCTTTTTAGATTTGTCATGTCCACTTGTCTCGTCGTTACATTATATATTTAGAAAAATTATAAAACAAAAAATTTGAATTTTGTAACAAAATAAATTTTTAATTTTGCAAATTTTAACTCTAATTTTTTGATTTTTTTTTACATTTAAACTATTTGTCTATTTTTGTTAAATAAAATTGACAAAAAAAAAAAATTTAGTCACTATATTCAATAAAAAATATATTTTAAATACTTTTTGTACATCAACATTGAAAATAATAACTAAAATATCATTTTTTCATTAATTTAGTTAATAAAAATAGACAAATAATTTAGATTAATAAATCAAAAAATTAATTTAAATTTAAATTTTTTTTTAAAAATCATTATTTATTTTGATTCTTTTAGGAGAAAATTAATCTAAGGTCCCTCTCCCATTTTTAGTAATGTAAAAAATCAACAATATTATTTTGTGATGTCTAAATTCTCTCAACCCACACTCATATATCATAGAGAAATTTGACTCTCTTAACTTAAAAAAATTTCCTCTCTTCTTCTTCTGTACATACTGTAACCCAATCTTTCCTCCCTTTCCCCACGCTACCATCTCCGTTGCCGCATCATCCGTTGGTTTTGGAGATCTCGAAGAAAGTCATGATTCATTTTCCCTGACCGCAAAAATCGCGTTGAAATAGAAAAGTTGATTCGCGGTTGGAGGCAAAACTCCGATCGCTGGAGAAGCATGAAACTGAGGTTGACGAAACGGAAACCTAGCGGTGACGGTGCCGAATCCGGTAAATCTGCCGCCATGAGAGAGACTGAGATTGAGCGAAGGCGATGAATCGACCATCAGTGCCGGAGAGAAGCCCTCGCGACTCAAAGACTCGACGGTATTACTCTCACTCGGACTCTGATTACAATTCACTTTCTTGATTTCATTGATCTTCACATCATTATTCTCTTCCGGTTGAGGAAAATTAGTCTTAGTCTTAGCACGACGAAACTCTCTGGCAGCAAAGTTGTAGGCTTTGGCCACCTCCTTTGTCGTATCGAAGGTCCCCAACCAGACGCGGCTTTAATCAGAAAAGATTAAGGGGGAATTTCTGTGGGTTTGGAAAGGGGGAATTTCTCTGGTTTGGGTGAATTTCTCTGGGTTTGGAAAGGGATTTTCTCTGGGTTTAAGTGAATTTCTCTGGGTTTGAGTGAATTTCTCTGTGGTGGAGAGTGAATTTCTCTGTATTGAAGTGAATTTCTCTAGAATGTTCAGAGAAGTTCTTCACAGAATTTCTTTGGTGAGATTTTCTCTGTGAGGTCGAATTTTCTTTGGATCAATTTGAGAGACCTTAGACATTATTAAAATATTGAATGTCCTTTATGCTATAAAATCTGAATAAAGGGACCTTAAAAAAATCCCTATTATTTAGAGGGACATTATTTATTTTGTTTTGTTTTATTTTTGTTTTATTTTTTTTGGATGTAAGACATTATTTATTTTGTTGGAAGACATAAACTTGGTTTTTATTTATTTATTTTATAATTTCTCCTATATATTTTTAGAAATTAGCGCTCAAATGCGTGCTCTCTCTCTCTCTCTTTCTCTCTCTCTCATGCACGCTCTCAAATTATGGATGAATAAGAAGTGGGACCTTCTCAGGTAGATGTGCCATGAAGCCTGTACAAGTGAAATATTAGATCATAACAATAAAACTCTGATTTAATCATAACAATAAAACTCTAATTATTCTATAAATTACGATTTGTAAAAGGAAAGTATGCTCAGTTATT